TCAATTATCAACAACTCAAAAAATAACAGCTGCTGGAGAGGGTGTGGTGAAAAGGGAACACTTCTACACTGTTGGTGGGAGTGTAAACTAGTGCAACCTCTGTGGAAAGCAGTGTGGCGATTCCTAAAAGCTCTAAAAATTGACCTTCCATATGACCCTGCAATCCCCCTACTGGGAATATACCCTGAAGAACACAAATCACTCTATAAAAAAGATACCTGCACACGTATGTTTATCGCAGCATTGTTCACAATAGCAAGAACCTGGAAACAACCATGCTGCCCATCAAAAGAGGACTGGATTTAAAAAATGTGGTACATATACACGATGGAATACTACGCAGCCATAAAAAAGAACAAAATCATGAATGTCGCTGCAACCTGGATGGAACTAGAGTCTATAATACTGAGTGACCTCTCACAAAAACAAAAATCCGAATATCACATGTTCTCACTCATATAATGGACCTTGAACATCCAATGCAATACTATGAGAAAATGACGGATGGTACTGGGAAACTAAGGGGGGGAGGGGGATGGGATTAACAGTAGCAAATATCTGTCGGGGGATGGGAAAACACTTCTTATCTACAGGGTGCCTGAATGAAACGTCATTGTACACCTAACCCTTAACTGTACCCCACAAAACCATAATAAAAAATACTGATTAAAGGAAAAAAAAAAAAAAAAAGAAAAGATGTAACTTGCCAACTTGCAAAATGAAGCATTAGAGTGACACTCCTACTCAAAAAAGAAAATAAAAGAAAAGAAAGAAATCTGCAAGGGCTTATGTTTTCTACATAGGCAAAGCCTAGGCAATGCCCTGAGAGCTTTTATAGATAACATTCTTCATTTGAAAACTACCAGTCATCAGATATCACCAATTAGTAACTAGGATAATCACAGGATGATACACTGGAATTAGAATGAAGTTTATTTGAATGAACTGGGTACTTGTAAATATTAATAATGCTCATTAATGTAAGCATTATATTTTTCCCAAAACTTCCATAGAAGGATAAAAGGTATATAACAAATTTAAAACTACTTACATTTAATAGCATATAATAATTAGTACCAAAATTAGCATTATGTTGTTTTTGGCTCTGATAACACTTTATCTCTGAAGGTTATCTTCTTGGGAAGCAAATTACCTCATGATAAAATTATCCTTTAATTATAATCTTCTAGCATGCAGTTTAGATCACATTAGCATTTGTATTATAAGCCCTTATTTAAAAGGTCTTCCATTTTGGTTTGAAAAAATTAAAGTTCATTCAGGGATAAAAATGACCTTAGCTACCTGGTTAAAAATTTGGTGGTGCTTACAAAAACTTGTAACATCAAAGTAAAAGTGACTTGATCATTTTAAAGCTATAAATGCAGATATTGAGCCATCTTGGGTTCTTATTAAACTAACAATGTTCAGCAAATGGTACGTGATAAAAAAAAATAATAGAATGAATGATGGATGAGAGGTATGACTTCCTACTGTTCTTTGGTGTCACTGACTGAATATGATTATCCAGGATCACCATAGACTCTGAAGATTAGACATAAAGAACTCTGGCAAAAAACTGCAGAAGTCTAGATCATGGTCATAGTCATACATAGCCTTGATGCTATGACTCATAATTATATTAAAGGCTCAATGAGGACATTTGCTACTTCAAGATCCTTGCCACTCATGGGAATGAAAGTTCCATCTGTGGTCTTAGAACAATGTTAAATTACCCATTTATTGATTCAATAGACAGATGTGCCAGCTCAACCTATTAAAAGTTTAGACTTGTACCTCAAAAAATATTTTCTGCTTTTTTCTTCCCGTCAAGGGCAGAGACGTGTATTGGTGTATGCATATGAATCTTTAGCTTAATGGAATAGTAGCTTACTTTTTGGCAGCTTTCATTAGCCTGTACTTCTACATAGCCCTGCCCAAAAGGGTTATTACAAACTTTTACCTTGATTTATTATACCCCTCAACAGATGTAATAGCTCTTGGGATACAGGTTCGTGTCAAAACAATAATGGAATCGTGTTAAATGTGAAAAACCATATTGCATATAGTTTTCCATGACAAAAAAATGCATTAAGACCACTGTAAAATTACATTTTTAATGCCTTACTAGTTATACACTTCTTGAAATGACTCAAGTTAACAAGGAAAAAACACTAAGTTTGTGCATTTCAAAATAATATAGTGACAGTCCAACTGTTTAAATTAGAAGCAATGTTTCTTTAGACTACTGGCATTATAAATTAAATTTTATGAATATGTGTTTCTTTTTTTTTTTTTGAGTTGGAGTCTCACTCTGTCACCCAGACTGGAGTTCAGTGGCCACTCCCGGCCACCGCAGCCTCGACCTGCTGGGCTCCAGTGATCCTTCCGCCTCAGCCTTCCAAGTAGCTGGAACTACAGGTGCGCGCTACCACGCCCAGCTAATTTATGATTTATTGTAGAGATGAGGTCTCGCCAAGTTGCCCAGGCGGGTCTCGAACCCGCGGGCTCAGGCAATCCACTAACTTCAGCTTCCCAAAGTGCAGGATTACAGGCTGAGCCACCAAGCCTGGCTTATATGTTTCTTTTTTTTTTTGAGTTGGAGTCTCACTGGAGTGCAGTGGCACACTCAAGGCCACCCCAGCGTCAACCTGCTGGGCTCCAGCAAACCTTCTGCTTCAGTCTTCCAAGTAGCTGTAACTACAGGCATACGCTATCACACCTGGCTAATTTTTTAATTTTATTGTAGAGATGAGGTCTCACCAAGTTGCCCGGGTTGGTCTCAAACTCGTGAGCTCAGGCGATCCAATCACTTCAGCCTCCCAAAGTGCTGGGATTATAGGCTGAGCCAAACCTAACTGAATATGTGTTTCTTCCATCCTTATTCCTACAGTGGAACTCATAATCTCTTTTTAATGCATCATTACATTCAAGAGAGTGAAAATATCTGATACTGTATTTAAAGTATATTAAAAGTAGCTTTGTAGTTCATAGAAAAGAAAGAACATTTTGAAGCAAATTGTGGAGATGATATTAAATGAGAGAGATGCTTTTCTAGTCTTCTTTTCCTCCTCCTTTTCTCTACTACACCAACTTAATACAGAACTTAGCAACACCAACAGCTTACCTGTTTGACTGCATTATCATTTCCTAAATCACAGTCTGGGCCAGAGCAGACATAAACGTTGGATGGTAAATCATTATAACAGCTCCTGCAGATGTCTGAAGAATCTCTCATACTGAAGTAAAGAGCCCACAGAATTCTTGGCTTTTCAACATCTTCATTTTCTAAATGTAGAAATAAATTATTTATATTCTAAAAACACTACACTACGTAGCCTATTATCAATTAAGTCATGACTAGACATTGTAAATAAGTAAATAAGAGCTTTGTATGTAAACAATTAGGAATCTGCATCCATACACACGTATGATGTATGATGTACATGTATGATATTTCAATCAATGATAGCTTTTTAACCTAAGATGAGTTAGATTTTAAAATTTATTTTGATTAGTAAGTTAACTAGATTTAACTCCAATCATGCTCCCTTGAATTTCTATTACCTTTCCTCACCAGTATCAAAGTGCTTATGATCACATTCATCCTTAAATTACTCCTATGACGTGACAAGATAACAAAAATTGATTTTTTTGTGTTTCAAATGGACAAACCAATTTGTTAAATTATATAGTAAGTCAATAGTATACACATATGAAATGTACAGAAAAACAGGAAGAACAGGAAGACTAGTGGTTACCTAGGGCTGAAGGGAAAGGGTGGTGACCATGAATAGGTATGGGGTTTCATTTGGGGGTGATGGAAATGTTCTAAAATTGACTGTGGTAGTGTTTAGGTAATTCTGTCATATACTAAAAGAAACACTGAATTTTGTACTTTAAATGGATGAATCACATGGTATGGGAATGGTATCTCAATAAAGTTATTAAAAATAGTATATATAGGACATAAATTTTGATATCCTAAGTCACATTCTAAAGTTAATAGCAGCCAACAAATAACAAAAATGAGGTCATGAGGCTGAATATCATTTACAGCACATGTTCATTCATTTAATAGTAAGCATCTTTATGTGTGACAGGCATTGAGCTAAGAGCAGGGGATAAATAGATGAAGTAGACTTAGTGCTAACTCTCCTCTCTTTTTTTTACTAATACTGGGTCTAGCATACAAAAGATGCTCAATAAATAACTTCTGGATTGATTTTAATCCTGTTTTCAGGTATAATCAAAGTATGATGTGCTTATAAAAAGTTCAACCTTATTAACCACAATGCCTAAAGCTTATTTCTTGCTGTCTTGATAATCATTTCTTTGCCTTTTTTCCTTAAAAATTTTATAACTAAATTTTCTTTGGTTGAAAACAGAACATTGCTGTAACTATATTTAATGATGATGATGATAGAGTTTTCTTTAGCCTAAATCTGAACACAAATTTAAATTCTGTTCAATAATAATAATGGATGTTTATGAAGATTACAAGACCATGAGGCACCTTGTGCATCATAAAGAAAAAGCTAAAGGTATAATTATCTAGTTAACTACTGTTATGAAATTGGTAATTGACATAGAAAAATTTTCATTTAGTTGCAGTATTCAATTAAGAAAGCCTTAATATTCAATTCAGGATAAAAGGATTTTATTATATTTAAAATATCTCTACAACAAAAATACCAAATGTCATTTTTCTAGTTCATCCTGAATAATCTATAATTATTTAGTGTGATAAGATGAAGAAACTTAGACTGGAAGAAGTGATTTCTTAACGTGCCCCTTTCTAATGCTAAGATCTATGAGTCAAAGACATCACCAACTTCATGTAGGCACACGTTAAGTGGCTAAACTTATTTACTGACAAAATAAAGAAACATAATATACTCATATTTCACAGTTAAAATCATACGGCTTTTAGTAACTAAACTTGTGAGTTTAGTGTCACTAAATCTTAAGGGAAGATACTTAAACATACCACCTATGATTTGTGACACCAGACTTGGGGAGCATTGTTGAGAAGTGGGCTACGGTTTGAAAGGCCTTTAATATTGCCCACTCCATTTCTAAGCAAATACTTTATAAGAATTTTTCTTGTATTTCATAAAAGAGCTGGCTCAGAGGAGTGCTTTCACTCAATATAAGTTGGAGAAAATGAATAATCCAATAGATTATAAAAAAAGAAACTTCACAGAGGTTGAGGCTTTGAAAAGAAACCACAAGGAAGGTGAAAAGTTAACAGGCTGAAGATAAATGCTCCAGATACAAGGGAGTCATCAGACTTTGACCTTAAAACCTTTAAGAGACATATAATTGCTTCATCTTTCTTTGAGGTCAGCTGGAAGGCAGTGAGATAGTTGGAAAAATAACATCCAGTTGTGAAGTGTGCAATTGTCAAAATATTAAAGTTGCTGAGCTCTGGCTACGAATACACCACAAGTTGCCAGGGGAGAGAAATGGTTTTCTGCAATAGCTCATTTCATTCAATTTGATAGTATAAAGGACTAAAGATGTAATAGGAAATTTAGAATAAGCTCCTGGGCAAATTAAACTGGGGTAAATAGAATCAAGTAAGAAGAAGAAAAGCAATTACAGCACACCAAATAAAAGCAAGAAATTGTGTACAGTTTTATGCCATGATTAGGGAGAGAGTAAACTATTTTAGTAATACTGGCAGAGTAGTAGAGACTATGATAGCCCTGACTGAATCTGGACACAACACACACAAAAATAATTAAAGTAAGACATTTGTTTTTAGTTTCCAACAATTATTTAACATTCTTACCATCTTCCAGCTTCAAACTATATATATAAGGGGAATTTTTGTTTTTAGGCAGTGCTGCTCTTTGAGATAGGAAGGGAGTGAGACAGGATGAGACAACACAGGCTGTACACAATGGAGGGAAAAATAAAAATAGATGGTACAGTGATGACACTACACTTTAGACGTTTCAAGATTTAGTGCTAATCAAGTTCTTACTTCCACTTGTACTGAAAACCTCAGCTTTATGGATAAAATAGGAAACCTCTTGTTCTACCAGTGAGACTGGAACATATTGCTCACTTTACAAATCTCTCTCAGTGCTCTAAAGAATATTCCTGGAATCTGGAAGAATTAATGTACATATGAATGGTACATTACCTCATTTTCTCACCTGTAGAACCAGGTGCACTAAACATAAGATACCTGCATTTCTTTGGGCTGGGAAATAGAGATGGGTTTAGAAATCTTTGCTACTCTTAATGAAACCTGACAAGTAGGGTTCTTGCTAAGTATTAATACAACTGCTTCTTGAGTCAGAGAATATCTCAAGAGCTCTGGTTCATACTTTAAAAGTGAAAAAGAGAGAGAGAGGATTCCTTCAGAATCCTAACCAGAATTTCTCAGATACATTGGCAAAGAAGTACTGTAGTTGAAAAGAGAATATAATCTTTTCCAAGAAATGAACTTCCTGCAAGGTGACTAGGCTGACTTTCACAAAGGTTTATGAAGCACAGTACCACATAGAATGTAGAGCTCAAAAAGAATAAAAAATAAGCCACAATAACATTATTCCTCTTGTACATGTTTTCAAGTAAAATACCAAGGGTGCCAAAAAAAAAAAATGTACACACATTTTAAGGGATGTTAACAGATGTTTACCATAATCAGAAGTATCTAGACACTGATCACTTTTGAGCACTTCTTGTAATTGGAGAAGTCAAGCATGGCTTGTATACCTCTTTTTGAGTATTACAATTTCCACACAGCTTTTTCTTTTCTTAAAATGTGTATTTTCTGGGGGGCATCCTCTATATTTAAAATGCCCTAAAGCATAAGGTTTCATATGATTGTCAAATAATCAAAACATAATATTAAAACCATCAATCTGTAAATATGGGCTTCTGCTACAGAGAAGAATGTATTAAAAGTTAATATTGCCCATAAAGTTCCTTCTTCATTTAGGCAGGAAAATGAATTGAGTTCTCTTCTCCAGGTGACTTTGCCTCTTTGACCTGCCATGGCCCAGTGCTCACTTTATCTGGTGATTCATTTTCAAGAACTCCAACAGTATTTGTTCTGACATTTTAATTAAAATATGACCACTACCTCATCCTGATGATAAAAAGGCCTATGTGTCAGTGAAAACTAGCTTTTCAGTGCCTCGGTGCACCCAAAGAACCCTCTGATCACATAGTTCTTACTAAAGAATTTCACTCAGGTTCTAAACAATACATCATTTCAAAATGGGATCACTTTACTCATTAAGATTAATGTTTAAAAATCTAAAATGGCTAGAAGATGCTAAGTAATAAGCATGTAATTTCCCCCAGCTTGACTTTTTAAATAAGAAAACTTAAATGCATTTAAAAAGCAAGGAGTTATGATACTGGATTTGAATTTAGTGTATTATTTGGGACCACCACAAGATGCTATCACAACAGAAAAATTATGAAAAACTTCAGAAATAAGAAAGAAATTCAGGGTGTTTATAAGCAAGGTATAGTTGGAATTAAAGCCAAAGGATATATTAGAGTTAGGAATATTGCATATATTATAACTTTGTGATGAAGTTTTTAACACTAATTGAATATTTATAAGACTTTCAAATGAAAAAACATAAATTGTAAGTAATTTATAAATTAATAAATTATAGCTAAATAATTTAACTTATAAATTAAATCCCAAACTAAAGTAAAGTACATTTTCCTTTTTTTTGAGTTGGAGTCTCACTCTGTCACCCAGACTGGAGTGCAGTGGCCGCTCCTGGCCACCGCAGCCTCGACCTGCTGGGCGCCGGTGATCCCTCCGCTTCAGCCTTCCAAGTAGCTGGAACTACAGGCGCGCTACCATGCCCAGCTAATTTTTGATTTATTGTAGAGATGAGGTCTCGCCAAGTTGCCCAGGTGGGTCTCGAACCCGCGGGCTCAGGCAATCCACTCACCTCAGCCTCCCAAAGTGCTGGGATTAGAGGCTGAGCCACCGAGCCCGGCTGTAAAGTACATTTTCAAACTGAAGGACTTTATTTGGGCAGCTCACAATGAAATTAAATATACCGAAATTAGTTCCTGAGAACAGAACAGTTTGTCTTAAGACTTATGTAAATAAGACCTTTCCTATGTACCATCTCTGCATTAAGAAAACAAACAACACACATAGAAGATGAGCTAAAACAAAAAGTCAAATAGGTAAGAGTAAATAAATGGTTGTCAGAACAAACATAATATACAAAGAAAATGAAGACATATGAATCAGATGAAGAGAGTGACCAAGTTTCAACTGAACATGCAAATCCTATAATGAAAATCACTTTCACTTCATAAAAATGAACATCCATCAGGCTATTTTTTGGTCACTTACACACAAAATACACCCTATTTGTTTTATTCACAGCTGCAAGATCTACCCTATTATATGAGAAAAAAAAGTTTAAAAATTCATGGTAAGCAAAGCACTTTCCCACTATGAATAAGCAGCATATGTACTGCAGAGATCACATCACTAGCACATTATATATTAAAATATGATTATTAGATAGGAAGGATTCCTACATTTGCCAATTAGTATTTCAATCTTCTGTTACTCAAATTACTTTTTTTTTCTTAGAGGAAGATAACTTTTTCTGATAAAAAAATATATGCTTTTTGTATACCACTCATACAATAAAGAATATTATTTTAAAAAAATTGCCCATAAATTCACTAAAAGTGAGAGATTTCCTGACAGTCTTTGTTTCTGTGCATGTATGTACACATATAAATGTAAACTTTTGTGCTTATTTATGGTTATTGTGTGTGTGTGATGTATATTTTTCCTTTAACATTTATTTTCCCCTATGTTTAAGCAGACACTGTGCTCAATCATCTTAGTAATACACGTGAGTTGTTGTTGAATACATCCCATTTCAGTTCCGATTACAGAAATCTTCATGAAATATTTAAGAACAGTATGATGGTTACATTACCTTTCCATCATCAATCACCAATTACTTTTCTTACCTATATCCATTTCAGTATATGGAATAAACAATTTCTTCACAATTGGCTCTAAATCTCCTCTTGCTGTTTTAGAAGATACACAAGTCAGATGAACCAAATCTGTTAAAAAATAATATTTTGAGTTCCTGCTTATCACAAATCTATTTTATTCATATTGAAGGCACTAAGCAAATATCATGGGTAATAGAGAGCTGAACAAGTCATGGCTCCTGCCTTCCAGGAGTTTATAATCTAGTGATAGAGGGACAAGGTAAAACCCTAACATTATGCTATATATGTTAATTAAATAGCTAAAATATGTGTTAACTAATAGCTAAAATAAATCACACTTCACCCAAGAAGAAGTAGCAGGTGATATCAATTTGGTAAAACAGACAGAGTAAAAAGTTTAAAAAAAACAACATTTGTTTGAAAATGAGAAAAGAGCTTAGGTTGTCCTTATGGTATTTCTAAAGAAGATGAATGAAGGATTGCTAAACAAATAATTATGTAAAAAAGATTGAAAATAGAGTATTTACCTAAGAGAACACACTTCATATACTACAGACAGATGGATTCATTTATACACGCTTAGTTGACAAGTTAACAACAAATCATCTATTCATTACAGGGTTCTCTAAATACCTTTTGGGGGAACATTGTTGGCTTAATTAAAATGATACAAATACTTGAAAGGCCATAAAATGGCATAGGCAAAAATAGTCTATAATCAGAAATTTCAAGTCACTTTACTTTTGTATTAACAGATTTATGGGGACTGAACCTTGGAGAATGTTTAGGTTAGTACAAAAAAAAAGGTTCTTTACAGAAGTGAAATATTGTAGCTTAACTCTTAGAACTCTTTTTTTCCCCTTTTTTTCATTCTGAAGGCAATTTCAGGGAAGACAATCCAGAGGCTAGAATGGATTTGAGAAACCTGACAGAGATTGAAGTGATGTTGGCTCAAATCTATCCAGGGTGGCTCACCCTCCTTTTATGCAGCTAGACTCATCTAGACATAGCCACTTAGGCTCACATCCCCTCCACCCTCATGGCCTTAGAATGATCCTTTGGGGGCTGGGCATGGTGGCTCATGCCTGTAATCCCAGCAATTTGGGAGGCAGAGGTGAGACGACTCCCTGAGCCCACAGGTTCGAGACCAGCCTGGGCAACATGGTGAGACCTCGTCTCTACAATCGATAAAAAATTTAGCTGGCAATGGTGGCACACACCTGTAGTTTCAGCTACTTGGAAGCTAAGATGGAAGGATCACCTGAGCTCAGCAGGTCGAGGCTGTGGTGGCCATGAGTGTGCCACTGCACTTCAGCCTGGGCAACAGAGTGAAATGCCAACTCAAAAACAAAAACAAAAACAAACCCAAAAGATCCTTTGGAGCCTCAGCTTGTGGCCTGTCGTGCTTCATCCAGTTTCCCCAAGGGCAGGTTTACTGTCTACTGGTAATCTTGACTAACAGTTATGTCCATGGAAGAAGACAGGATATCCATGGTGGTCCAGGGATCAAAATGAGCCATGGACAGTACATCAGTGTCACTACATTGTCATGCACTTAACACTGGAAGGAAGCATAGTGCAGCCTGTTTACCCAAATCGAGTTCCTGCTGGTTGACCAAGGCCGCGTGATCCAGAGAAAAATGTGTGCAGCATGACACCTTATTGCTGTGTAAAACCATTGCATCTTCAGGAACAGCAGCCTTTTGGAAACTTTGCAGCAGTGTTTCTCAATCTGGAGTGATTTTTACCTCCACCCGCATGGGGATATCTGGCAATATCTCGACACATTTTTGATTCTTGCAACCGGTGGAACACTACTGGCATCTAATGGATAGAGGCCAGGGACACTGCTAAACTTCCTACAATGTGTAGACAGCCACACATGCACAAAGAATGCTCCCATCCAGAATGTTGATAGTGCTGATGTTGAGAAACCTGCCTTTAAATCCTCAGATGGGATGCATGGGAGCTCCCCTCCGTGTGCACCTGCATCATCCACTCCTAGAACTCCCACATGACCAACCTCCTCCAGGACTCTTACCCCCAAGCAACTCCCCACCTCCCAATACTCCTACTCACATTAGTTGTTCCTAGTTTCTCACAACACCCCCAGGAGCTCATCCCTTCTTTTTGTGAGTATTGACATTCAGTTCCATGGGTTTTTTTTCCTCTGGATGGAGTTAAAGGGGCTTCAGATTCATGTGGGTGGTGGAGGAGGAAGATGAAAAAGTTAGGTTTTGCCAATTTGGCAGAGTGGGGGTGGGGGTGAAGGGCAGGCAAAAAGGTCAGTCCTTCCACAATGTCAGAGGGGTCAGCTCTGACCCTAATGCCTGCACTGTTACCCAAAAAGCACCTGATGTCTAGCCTTAAGCAGCATCAGGTACCAGATACTAAAGCCTGAAAAAGTGATGAATTTGTATCCCACCCTAAAAAAAAAGGTGAGAGGGGGCTCGGTGTGGTGGCTCACTCCTGTAATCTCAGTACTTTGGGAGGCTGAGGCAGGAGGATTGTTTGAACCTAGGTGTTTGAGACCAGCCTGGGCAATATATTAGTTAGACATGGTGGCACACACCTGTAGTCTCAGCTACTTGAGAGGCTGAGGTGGAAGGATCGCTTGAACGCAGGAGTTCAAAGCTGCAGTGAGCTATGATAGCACTACTGCACTACAGCCTGGGAAACAGAGAGAAATCCTTTCTGGAGGTGAGTGAGATGGGAGACCCTGTAGGAAATCTTTTTTTTTTTTGAGTAGGAGTTTCACTCTTTGTTGCCCAGGCTGAAATGCACTGGCACGCTCACAGCCACTGCAGCCTCGACCTGCTGGGATTAGGTGATCCTTCCACCTCAGCCTTCTAAGCAGCTGGAACTACAGACACACGACACTACGCCTGGCTAGTTTTTGTGATTTATTGTAGAGATGAGGTCTCACCAAGTTGCCCAGGCTGGTTTCGAACACCTGGGTTCAGGTAATTCTCTCGCCTTGGCTCCCAAAGTGCTGGGATTACAGACTGAGCCACCGCGCCCTGCTCTGTTAGAACTCTTAAAGGCCTATGCCACAAAGTTGAAAGAGAGATGAAAAGTTCTCCGTTTTGTGCAAAAAAGGACTAAGGGCATTCTTAAATGAGAAACGTTCTTATGGTCCTAGAAAGGGCTTGCTTGGAGAGAGACAGAATAATGAGAGAAAAGTAAATGCCGAGAAATTTCTCTCCTAGTACACCAGTAGAAAGACATAACCACTTCTTTTCCAAGAGTTTATTTCAGATTACTAGATTCTTTTTTAAACTCCAGGAAGAAAGTTCAAATTTTATCATGAAAGCCAACATCAGAATAAGATTCTCATTATCAAAATTTGTTCCATAGTCAAATATTAAAAATATATACCTAAGCATAAATTGAGGGACTCAATAACCATGGAACTAAAATAAAATTTTGTAATCTCCCCTCCCCCAGCCTAAATTCACCAGAGGAAGTAATATTCTAGGTTGGTTCTTGAATTATTTATGGTCTAATAAAAGATCTACTTTATTCAAGCATTGTTTTTACATGAATTTAACAATGATCCCCATTAGTTCTGGGATATTGTAGGACATATGGTACTATTTCAAAAGGTATAATAAATGTCACAACAAAATCATTCCTGATTAATTTATATTTGTCAAGTGTTGTAAACTATGAGGATGGGACGTAAACTACCTAGATAATTACTGAACTAAACAGGATATTCAATTACAAAGGTCAGAAATCCACAGAAGACAAATTGTCCTGTCTCTCATCCCACAGTCTCACAAAATACTAATGTTCATGCCAAAGTTCTCAATTTTCCATTTCCTTCCTATTCAGTTAATGATTATTAGGGAAAAAGCAGATGGACCTGGATATAAAAAGTATATTTTGGAAAATATCTCAATGACTAAACTATTGGTTCTGTTAAACAGGATATATATTTTAAAGAAATACACTTAAGTAAGTATATCCTTATGTCTTACAAATATAACAGAGTTCAACTCAAATAGTGTTAACAATAATTTCTAGTAGTGAAGTCAGATTATCATCTTGTGATTAGTGAGTTTTATAGCAATTCATAGAATGACAAATTAAAGACATTCATAACCTGAAATCTAATGTCTGTATGCTGCATTATTCATTGATCAACAAATCGAAAGTATGAACAACTATTTTTCCTCCTCCATTTTCTGCATTTCCTGTTACCTAAGTCACCTCCTTGTATAGGTGACTCTGAATTCATTTTGGTTCTCTTCAAATAAGAAATTGCTGATTGTTTTAAAATTTGGATTATTTTCAAAATTGAGTTATTGATATTGATACCTTTTGTAAGTTCTTTGCAGGGACAAGCTTTAAAGTAAATTTTTCTGATCTTTGTCAGATGCAACTTTTACTTAGAGTGAGTGTTCAATAAATGTTTGTTGCTAATAATAATTTGCCAATCTGTCATGTATGAACATTAAGTACTCACATGCTTGAATAGACATGCATGACCACACCAATATTTATACATACTTGTGGGGGATATTTGACTAGTTTCTGGTATGAAATTTTCTGATCTACCAGGAAAGAGCCAAGAGTAGTACCAACAGATAATCCTCAAATTATTTAAATCTGCCTGAGAAACGCTTACAGACACATTAACATATATCCATAAAATTCTCAAAAAGAATTTTAAAATAATATCTGGATTTGATTGTACAGCTTCAACATGCATGTGTCAGACACTAAGCATATTACAAATATTATTATTATTATTATTTTTTTGAGTTGGAGTCTCACTCTGTCGCCCAGACTGGAGTGCAGTGTGCAGTGGCCGCTCCCGGCCACCGCAGCCTCGACCTGCTGGGCTCCGGCGATCCTTCCACCTCAGCCTTCCGAGTAGCCGGAATTACAGGCGTGTGCTACCACGCCCGGCTGATTTTTTGATTTATTGTAGAGATGAGGTCTCACTGCCCAGGCGGGTCTCGAACCCACGGGCTCAGGCAATCCACTCACCTCAGTCTCCCAAAGGCGCGGGATTACAGGCTGAGCCACCAAGCCCGGCTCAAATATTATTTTATTTCACTTGTGCAATAGCCAACTGTTATCCTCATTGTACAGATGAAAAAAACAGAAGGACAATGGGTTAAGTAGATTTACTAAAGTC